GTCTGGCCTCAAAAGCCGCGCCAAGTTGATCAAGAAACAAGTTTCCGATTGAAACTTATCGAATTACATGCGCTACGTGATATTTCATTGAGTTCCGCTAACGAATGCGCTTAAAGTGTACTGGGTGAGCTATGGTAAATTTAATTAATGAAGGCGAGATATTTGCTTCATTTAAATTTTGGGTACCAGTAGAGAGAGAGACAGAGAGTGAGAGAGAGAGAGAGCGAGGGAGGGTGAAAAGCCTGTTAAGACAGTCACGCCTGCATTCGCCACGCCTCAGTGACACTGAACTTGAAATATATTCAAACATCTTTTTATTGATAAGCCATGAAATGTGAGTGTCAAATGATAAATCATATGATGCTGCAACAACAGCAACAAAAGAAATGCATTTAAGCAATTAATGGGATTGGAGATTGGGCAAGTTTTTAGTGGAAAATTTTTCGAAAAGAACAAAATGCTAACAACATGAATAGAGGATCCACAACAGGTAAGAGTGTCTGAGAATGTAAGGCAAACGGGTGTTAGCGACTGCATAATACTTGTTTATATGTTGAGAAATTTGGAGTGTTACCTATTTGACTAAAAGTCTAACTTAACTAGAGTTTACTAAAAATGTAACAGAATTTGATGATGTAAATGCTATAATTGTCTAATAAAAAAATTCCAACACACAAAACCTATATACTCCATTTCGTTTCGTAAGCAAGCATATGAAAAAAGAGCTGAACTAGTCATAAATAAATTTCGTTCAAGGAATTAGAAAATCCTGTTGGCCGTCAGGTAGTCAATTGCTTGAGGTGTGTTTTTGTGTTTTTTGTTGTTGCCAGCAGTTCAAAGACATTCGATTCTCTTGTGTTTTGGAGTTCATGTGTTGCGTGTGCCGCTGCCGTGATTCACATAAAGGACTTAAAGGTAATTAAAATGATACACACACACACACACACACATATGTATAAATATGCGTATTTTTATTGAGGCCACGCCCAGGCATTGAATGCCTTGCCCAGGCTCAAAAAAATTCCAATGGCTTACGCTTGTTACCTGAGCCAATTACTACTGCACTGAGCATCAATCAGATGAGTTGTATGACTCGTTGCTCGCTCTTAACTACGTTATAAAATAACAACTAATGCCAGCCGAGCCCAAACCAAAAACCAAACCACAGAAAACTCAGTGAAATGCAAAAGATTGAACGTGTCGCGCATTGAGGATCAGCCGAGTGGAAATATGGAGCACATCAATATCAATAACAATATCAATTTCCATTTTTTTTTTTTTTTCATTAGATCTGCCATGGCTCGCCTTACGTCTGGGAAGTTGTTGACCCAATACAGACATAACGGATAAGATCAAGGCTCAGTGACAATTGCTAAAAGCAAAATTATTGAAATATGAACTTGAATTGACTCAAATGACCGACTAGGAGTACTCTACATTTGGGTATTATCTAGAGTGAGTATGAGAAAGAGATAAAGAGATGAAGAAGGATAAGAATGAAAGTCAAAAGGAAAGAGGGTGCAGTAGGGGCATGGGCAGTGAGATATAGAGAAGGAATCAGAGATGGAGAAAGACAGAGAAAAGTTCTTCAAATGAGAGATTTGCAGAGACAGACAAAGGTTGAGGTTAGAGTGGATAAGCAAAGAAAGAGGAAAAGAGATTAACAGTGACTTAGAGAGGAGGCTGAAATGAGGGAGCGAGATGGAGATATTGCAGGTCTTTCAGGAGTTCTTTCTATTCACATTCAAGAAAACCTAAAGATCCATATACACTTTTTTAGCCACATACATCATATGCAGGGTGTATACCAAGCAACAAATAATTTGGGGCTTGCCTGGTCTCCCATTGGGACAGACTGTCAACTGATGCCATTTGATGTATCGGAGCGTACCTTATCGCTAGTTATTCTGACCGCAGATCATTTGTCAATGTGTCATAGCATCGCATTATATTATTATTTTTGTTTTTCGTATTTTCGTCTGTTGTATTGTTTATAGTTCGTTTGCTGTGGCATCTTCTTAAATTCTTTTTGCTTTCGAAATCCGAGCAATGTTATTGTCTCACACAAAATTGAGTAAATATTGCTCCGATTCGAAGCCGTGTGGTTTGGTTTGGTATGCGGGCTGCGATCGGTTAGCTGAGATTAGCATTCGCCTCTGATATGGCCAATGTGAGACAATGTGTTTGTATAAGCCATAAAGCCGATGCGGTTTCGTATGCAGCAGACAGCTAAGAAAACAAAACGTAAGCAGGTTTTCAAGAATAAGCAAAGTCAAGACAGTGGCCAGAGCACACGATTCAAATATCAAATGATACGGAGCAAATGGAGTCAGGCAAAGTCAAATCTAAAGTTGCAAACTGGCCGATAATTTGTTATATGTGGATTATATACACATACATATATATCGTAAACTTACAGGAAATTAAAAGACACTTCCACACTATTTATTAGACATTTTTTTCATCTAAGCTTTCATATAAACTATGAATCATTTTGCTGTGATCATCATTTAAGCATAATTATAATTGAGCAATAATTTTCAATAATTGTTTATACAGTTGCAATGAATATTAAAGAGAGTATATTGACTTTAAAGGGAAAACTTCTAATATGTACTCGATAGTAGTCTTGATACATACTTCTAATGTTGAACTGATAAATCAGAAAAAATCATATCATATCTTTATAGATAAACTCATTATGATAGAAGAAAGAATCGTAGAATTACTGCAATAAAAACTTCATTCAGAGTATCAGCTAATGGTGTACTACTACACTGACTTCTAATACTAATCTGACTTCTTTCAGCACGAGTATTACGCAGTCAGTTATGCTCTTCACACGTATTCACCCAGCACTTGACACCTGAAGTGCTTGGCTCTTGTGGACAAGCAGCAAATCACAATTAACTAATAGCTGTCAAAATTCCAGTTTGCAGTTGACCAAAACTGTCATAATGCTGTCTGCCCATTGAACAGGTTGAGAAATATTACAAGTTTCAATTGATTTTCGCCGGCCCACATTCAATTTGGCCAAATCTCTCACAAATTGTCTTTGACAATTTGGCGTTGGCGAAAGAAATTTCGCTTGCTTTGATTTTTATGCTCAAAACATGTATTTGGACATGACTTTTAAACGCCAGTTGAACGGCGATTTTTTGCCAAGTCACAATTGGGAAACTGCAAACTGGGTTAATTGGATTGGCCCCTAACAGTTAAAGGGCCTACACAAAGATAAATAGAATTCTTTTTTTTCGCGTAGGCATCGAAAAGAGTTGGCAAATAAGAAAATTGCAGCCAAATCGAAGTTAGAGCAAGAAAAATGAAGGGGAAAAATTTTTAGTTTTGCTATTAGAAAAAAAAATTATAAACTTAAATTTTGTATAAAAAAAAATTTATGTTCTACAGAAATTGATTGATTTAACATTATTTAAGATACAAATATTCTATATAAAACCGAGTTTAATTAATTTAAAAGAATTTTTGTAATATATAAAATTTCTTCCGTTAATCAAATTTCCTTGGCTTCCATTCAATTGATAGCTCTTCTAAGACAATATTTTCACCCAATTATGTGTGCATTGTGTACAGAATGCAGACTAACTACCGTTAAATTGTTCTTGGCATTCTTCAGCAGTGGAATTTTTGTTTGTGAGTTTGATTAAATGCATTGATCATTAAGAATCTTACGAAAAAAAATACAAAAACAAAGTAAAAACAAAAAGAGAAAAAACTAGTTTAGACAAAGGCAGCGCTGCGCTAGCTAGCGGCTGCTTCCTGGCATAGAACACCGTACGGTGTAACCGTTGCTGAATGCTGAAGGTAAGCCACATTTTCGACACCGAAACCTTACCAAAAACGAAACAAAGACACCTGCTGCTGGCCAAGTCGAGTCGGCTCACTGGCCGTTAGATGCTGCGTCCAAGCGAACAAGACAATGAGCCAACTCGAGCCACTTGGTCTACAGAGCTCTTGGCCAACACAGCGTTAGTTGTGGTATGCGCTTTATAATTGTGCAGCCTGCGAAAACTGACCCACTTTGTGGTTGTTGCAGTTGCAGTTGCAGTTGCAGCATGCACCAGGCTGGCCACAATCAACTTCTGTTAACAATGCACATTAAGCCACACACTAATCGAGCCTCTTGTTATGCTTACAGTAGCTTAGCACAACATTCTATTCGACCCAGCCAAACAGCCAAATGCTGAGGGCGTTCAAAAAGCCATTTAGCTGCCCGCATTGTACTGGGAGATAAAAGCTTAGAATGCGTCCAATCGACTGCATAGTGCTCGTTCAGGTTGGGGCAAGTGAAAGAAGAATAACTGAATTTCTATGGAAATTTAGTATATTATTTCTTGGTATATCATATAGCTAATATATATATATATAGAGAGAGACTATGAAAGCAATTAGCCAGCATTTGCAGCACTAACGGAAGAGTTCAAAGACCTGGCTTATTAGTCATTTCTTCGAAAGCTTACATTTCCTATATTTCATATATCATTACTTATTATACGAATTTATTTCCAATTTTCGATTTACTACACATTTGCCTCACTTAAGCCCAATTTGCAATACTTTTGGAGCACACCTCGCATAGATAAGATGAACCTGTTATATATCTAAAATATACAAAAATTTATAATATATAAAGAACAGGCAACCAATATGCACGCTTTACATAAGCAGTTACACATAGAAAGAGACAGAGTAAGAAAGGGAGATAGAGAGAGCATTAGGCTTAAAATTCATTAAAAAGCCGCACCATTATATACCAGATAATACCTGATAATTTATGTAAAAAATAACCAAATGCGACACGTTCAAAAGTTGCTGAATACAATTTTTGGGAAAGTTCTATTGTGATCAATGCCAAGAGAAGTAGGAAGAAAGAGAGAAAGCGAATAGAACTGTGGCTAACAGTTGCTTTGAAGAAAGTCAACGAGCAACAAATATCAAAATCTGACAATTAATTTGAATTTTGAGTCATTTTCAAGCTCAAGAATACATTTTCTCTCTTTCGGTTAGGCTAACAAACCCAAAATAAGTAAATCAAATCAAATTAATTCAAGTATATCTCAGCTCAGATGGACACGATACGGGAAAGTTTGGGTCGTTTATTCACAAGGAGCTACGCAGCTGATACGACCGGTGGCCGTCACACGGCGGAGGCAATCGAGGAGGAGCTGAAACGGAAAGATGTGCTAGATCTGATGCAGCAGCAGCATCAGCAGGACCAGCAACAGGATCAGGATCAGGAACAGAAGGGGAAGCAGCAACCGCAGGATACGAAGCCACGCATCATACCCAAGGGCGAGGCAGACACGCGAAACGTCAGAACGAATGTCTATGAGGTAACAACTGCAAATCTGCCGGCGAAACGTGACTTGGCCAGATCTCTGATGGCCGAGCCAGCACCAATCAATTATGAGATGGAATTCGTGGACTTCATCAATCGGAATACGCCGCCCGGCTTTGGCAATAAGCTGCAGCAAATGCTGCCCTATCTGGGCGTCAGCTTCATTGCCTGGCCCACCTATTGGATGTGGCGCGGCTTCCACTGGCAGTCGAGGCGGGGAAGCGAAAGGATTGGCATGTACATACAAAGGGTATGGGAAGCAGATATTGATATATCCTAGACATAACCTCAAATCTAACCTCTATTCACATTGCAGACCTTCCAGCATGCCAAACTCATGCAGGTGGCCATTTTGAGCCTCGGCTTGATTATGGCCACCACGACACAGAGTGGAACGGAGCAACTCGACGTGCATGAGGTGTCCTACAACTCGCGCAAGAAATAAAAGAGGAAAGCATTGAAATAGCAGGCTCTGACGGAATGGAGCATGTCATTTAGACAGATAGGGGAAGAGGGAGAAGGAGAGAGGCCGATAGGAAAATATAGAAAGAGAGAGAGAGAGTGTGAAAGACAGAGATCAAGTTAATCTTTGTTGCTTTATATTTCAAAAAACGAAACAATTTCAAGTCAACCTTTTCAAATTTTTTGTTGTAATAATGGGCATCACGAGCTTCATTGAGCGTATGAAGAATTGGACAGTGTCGCGTGTTTATGGAGTTCCGCAAAAGTCTGATGAAAATGACCAGAAAATGAAACGATTTCCCAATCTCGGTGAGAATATACAGCGTGTGGTCCAAACGCCACAGTTCGAGCAGGTGCTAAATGCCGCATCACCCTTTCTGTTGGCCAGCATGGGTGCCTGGCCGGGATATTGGATATATAGAGGACTCGATTATCACTCGCATAGGGCGCACATACCGTTGCCTATCTACATTAGACAGGTAATTAATTACGATAGGCATAATGAATTATGATAATAATTATTATAATGATGGCAATGGCTATAACCATGAGTATAGCAATAATAGACAGTAATATCAATGATAATCATGATAATAATAATACCAATGATGTCACCAATGATATTAATGGTTGATAACAATAACAATGATAATGATAATAACAATGATTATACCAATGTTATGAATGAAGTCAATGATATGACCAATGCTATGATAATAATAATTACTATCTTAATAACAATAACAATCATATTACTAATAATCATAAACTAATACTAATATCTATACCAATACTAATTTGATCAATCAATTCCTCTTTCCCACCCTCCACAGACATTTTACCAGGCTAAACTGCTGCAGCTGATCATCATTATGACTGGTATCCTGACTATTGTAAAGAATCAGAAGAACTTGCACATCTTTCCAGATAACGACAACCGAAACGACCCCTAATTCGTCAAATCGTAAATAACTGCACCTTCATTATCAATTCTCAATTCACTAAATTTATAATAATAATAATTTACGCAAATTAGTAATGGCCCATTGCAAAAGCTCGAAATCAACAATAAATGAAAACCCAGATACAAATAGAGTTTTAATTGAGATTCGTTTAGAGTAAGAAACCAAAATTATTAAGTGGTATTTCCGTGTTTCTTCTGCCGCTGTTGTTGTTCTGGTTGCTTCTGCTTGTTCGCATCGCTTTTCAGCATTTTAATTTTGTTGGCCAAAGTCAGCGGATCCATGCCGGCGCCCAATAGCTCAATGCTCGCCCTGATCGCATCCTTATTGAGGCCGGCGTTGAGCAACTCGGCCATGCCAAAGATCACTTGAACCAGACTCTCAGCATCCTGAACACTGTCTTGATTGGACATGATGGAAATTTAGTTTCTTTTAATTTACTTTTGGTGTTTTTGAGTATATTGTGCAAATAAATAAAATAAATAAATAAAAATAAAGTGCTACTCAAAACACAGACTACTTAGTCAAATGGGGATTGAAATTAATAAAATTTGTATAGATTTATTATATAAATAAATATATTATATAAAGCAGAGAAGTCAACAATAAAATCTAGAAAAATTTCTTTCTTGGAAAATCTTTTATAATATAAATAAAAAAATATATATAAATATATTAAAATTGTTTCCAATCCAAAAATCATTTCATCTTCAAAATTTCCTCTCTTTCCAGCAACCCACTTAACTCTAATCTAGTTTGACTTAATTTCAAGTTTAAAGTTCATTAGCACAACTTTCGAGCCGACTAAACTACTTCATTATCAGTTACACACAGACACACATATATATAGTATGTATATATATACATGCTTCAGTCAAGCGGGAATATAAATTAACAACAAATTAAACAAATTACTTGCTGTTTAAATATGGAACTGCAGCACGCACAGCAAAGTGGGAATAAAACATACAAAAAGGCAAACAGAAACAGAAACAGACAAAAATCACAGTAAGCGAGCAATTAAGAAAGAAAAGAAAATTTGTATATGAAAAGAGCGAAGTTTGTATGCCCTTTAATGATATACATATAAACAGATATATATGTATATATATCTTATAAATATATTATCCAATTTTATTATTAAATAAATCCAATATTATTGAAAATCCACAAATTGAATGGTTTTAAAAATATATATAAAATATTATATTCGTTTTTTACTTTATTTATTTTATTTTTTTATTTTATGAATAAAGAAGCAGTCGCTTTAAATGCATTTCAAACAATTAATTAATCTCAAATGTCTCAAGCAGTTTGACATTCTAGGGTATTCAAAGTCTTTGATAAGTAGATCTCTATACATTATGCTAAAGCTATTGCTTTTGTTATTGTTTCACCTATTGTATTTGTTTACTTGTTAAGTAAAAGCATTTTTGGTGATCTATGGCATCTGTCTGCATATCAAGTAACTTAGTTGCATATATACATAGTTAAAAGAGTCTCTCACCTGTATGAGATACATTCTGTGGCAGTTGTTGTTGCTGTTGCTAGTTGGCTAGTTGTTGCTCGAGGCGTTATAAACACACACACACATATGCACACTCGCACAAGACACAAAAATCAGAGATGAATATAATTATGCAGCAGCCGTCTTAGGCATTTACGACTGCACTTGCGAGAGAGGGTTGGGCCTACGGACAGGTATCGCTGTATCTTTTTTTGTAACTATCTGTAGCCGTGTATCTATAACAGCTTCTTTTTATTATTATTCTTGTTGTTGTTGTTGTTGTTAATGCTTTGCTCTACTTGGAATGCAGCGCGCGTTTGTTTCTTTGCGGCTGACAGTCTATTTGCTTTCGAGTTTAAGAGCAATTGTTTCAATTAAATGAAAATTAGTTTTTTCCACTTTCTCACTTAATGAAAATAAATTGAACACAAATACATACATATAGATATGTATATATATATATATATATATATAAATAGAAATTAAAGTTTTAATGGCTTGGCAAATGTTTCAACGAAGCGATTTCCAGCGCGGTCGAAAATAAAAGTTCGTTAAGCAGGATTCACTGTATCTTATTGTACGATTTTATATAGTCAAGCTATATAAATGTAAATAGATGACAGTTTTAAAAGGTTTAATAGAACAAAATTAAATGTTCGTTTGTCAATTTAATTTTCAATTTATTTTTATTTTTTTTAGAATTTCGTTTCCTTCTGTTGCATTACTTTCTGACCCGTTTCACTATGGCAATGTTCGGAATGCCTCGAAATGCCTATACAAGAAATGCTTTCATTTAATTCAAAATCGATCAAACAAACGTATTTCAAATGCGGGCTCAATGCAGCGCGAGTTGAGCAATTTATTAACTTTGGGTTCGAGCGCAGGCGCACAATTCACATTTTAATTTAGATTATTTAGTATTTCATATCAAATTTCCAGTAATTAGTTTCGAATTATTTAGTTTTTGTTTGTGTTTAGTGGCTTATTCGGATTATTTTGTTATTTTTTATTTTACGTTGCAACACAACGCAAGTGTTTCCTCTCGTAGAGTTGAGCGCGCACTGAACGTAACAGTTCCAACAAAAAGTTAACTATGCATGTTATGCTCGCATTGGCGCTGTTAAACTCAAATTGGCACTGCTAGTGGAACGTGTTTGATGGCGCGTTAATACGAATTCCATATACAACAACATTATGATGTTCGCAGGCTCATATATTTGTTGTTGTGCATGGAAATTTGTTCATTTATGTTTGATGTTGGATGGTCGGAAACAATCGAACGTGTTGCACAGCAAGTTGTGGAATTTGTTAAAATTTTTAGGGGGCATTTCAGGAATTTTGGTTCATTTGATAAGTAATTTGTATTATGTGCAGGGGATTGGCTTAATGTGCATTAAATTAATGGAAAAGTGCGTGGGGGAAAAGGCAAGAAAAAGTAACTGATATCAGTTTTAGAAGAGCTAAAGAAATCGATGAGAAAAACAATTTGTGCTAAACTTTTTTTTTTTGCAAAATAAATATTTAAGTTTGCTAAAATAAAAAAAAAAAATTGAAATATGCAACCATTTTGCATAAAATTCGTCACATATTTTTTTTCTGCACAGCGGAATGTTTTAGCAACAGGTAACAGGTAGCTTATTTGGCCTACAGTTATTTCATATACAGCATATGCATACATATATAAATCCATATTAATTAATGTTGGCCGAGCGACCGACAAAGTGCGTAACCACAATAAATTTTAAAGCAAAACAGGAAATTTTTGTTAACATTTCATAATCTGGAATAAATTGCAAATATGACGAACGGACGCACATTCCGCTTGGCCAAAATGGGCGTGGCAAACAGCTGAGCTGCAGCTTACAAAAGTGATCGGGCGAGATCGGCGGAGCTAACATTGACTGGCACCCTTTTTGGTGGCATGCCACACCCGAGTCGCAGCAGCCGCAATTAAGTGAAAATGAAACTTGCAACAACAGCGACAGCAACCAAAGCAACAACTCCGATGGCTGCGAATGTGTGGCAGCCGTGATAAATGCGGTTATAAAAACCTGCAATCAACAAGCAACAGCCAACAGCAACAACCAACGACTCGCCAACGAAAGTGAAACAAAAGGCGCCGCCGACCAACAAACAACAAGCAACAACAAAAACTTGCAATTTCCATTTTAATACGCAACAACTTTCGGCTAGAGGCAGGCCGAAAGGAGTCACCTCATGCAGCCGCAGTCCAACTGCAGCGTTTGCTGCCAACATAGCTAAACGTGAAGTGGCCAACTGCAAAGCTCAATGAAATACCAAGACGCTGAATCGACTTGCAACGTGCCACAAACGCCCAAACTGAAACAACAACTCTGCACTGCAACAGGATTTATAACTCCCAACTGGGCATAGCTTAAGAAGGCATTGATAAGATGGAAAACAAGTGGAAAAGGAAGAGACGGGAAATTGAAAGTTTCCTCGTAAAGTTCTCTAGAGCGAAACTCTCTTATTAACTCATTAACAATGAAATGCTCAACTAATTATGATATGGCTACTACAATGAAACAGATAATATATGTTAAATGGGTATAGAATGACAAAAGCTCACAGCTAAATACTAGAGCTTTAAAAGCTAAATTCCACAAGAGTAAAAATTAGCCTGAAAAAAATACTGACAATACTCTATTATTGTTATTATATTCGTAGAAGACTAAAATACAGAAAAAGTAACTTAGTAACTACTTTTCCCTTAAGTTCGATTCCCAACTCCATCTCGTACTCTAATTTAGCTATTAAATATTTAGCTATTTTCTAGAGAGCTCTTGACTCTTTCGCTCCAGAAAAGGGCTAAAATGCGCAGCACAGACACGACAGACAAAAGTCAACGACAACAAACGAGAAATCCTGTTTCTCTGCTTTTCTCCTCCTAGTTTGCGGCAGTTGGAGCAACTACAGCGGGCGGCTTAGCTTTTTTTTTTGCTGGGTATGTCATCAGCATAAATTTTCGTTCGCATTCATCATAATTTTCATGCATTTAATTTGTGTTATAAATTGTCTGCATCGTACAATAGGCGCAGGGTACACGATGGGCACAGACAGGGCGTCTTTAAATTAACTGAGATTCAGTTTTCATATACCCTATAGAGGGTATTAGCTAGAGGCCAAAGAGGGATTGTATCATCAGGTGGGTCTACATGTTGTTGAAAGAGAGAAAGAGAAATAAGATATACCCTGTGAAATATATATGTATTCTTCAGCAGGATGTTGAGCTGGGTCTGGTTCATCTGTGACCCAAAACATAGAAACTTGAAATATGAGACAATAGTCGGACACTCCCTACTAGATTTACTTGTTATATATTCGATTTTTATAAATTTTAATTGTATATATTATATTTAACAAACAATTAAATTTTTCTCATATCTATCTGTATTTATGTGTATGAAAGTAAGAGTATGTTTTTATGCCTATCATAAGAGTGTGATAGAAAGGTGTAAATATAGATAAAGAGAGAGAAGTAGGGAGTGTATTTATGTGTATAAATATTTTCGCAAGCTCTTTAAATACTGGCTTAGATGTGTAAATAGACGGTAACACTTTTAAGAAAAAATCTGTATAAAAGTATTCAAAATTTTCAAACATGAAATTGGAAATAAAAAACACAATTATTAAAAGAGATGTACTTGTCGTCCTCGATGTTGTTGTTGTTGTGTTGCAATCAGCAAAGCCAACAACAAGTTGCGAGTATGCGAATGTAATCAGACAGCAGACAGCGAGCAGTCGACAGTCATGCGACGGTCTTAAACTTAAAGATTGTTAGGCGCGACAGACGCTCAGGTAGTTAAGGCAGACAATCAGGCAGGTAAGGTAAGCGAGTCATACTTGTATTTCATATTGGCCATCGATGCAGTCGCCAGAGCAAATGAGGCGCTGCACTGCAAATGCATTAGCATGATCGTGGGGCATGGCTAATTATGCCCACAGTCACTCATGTGAGCTAATGGGCAGGTGAAAAAGGAAATATCCTCGATAATCCAGACAGGAACTGCTGCTCGCGGCAATGTTGTTATGTAACCCAGATCCTAAGCAAATAATAAGCGACTGATGTCTTTTTTATTGACTTACGCAACCTACTTCCGTTTAGAGCCCTCGGGAAACTTACCTGTAAGGAGAGGAAAAACACTGCATTAGTCATCGAGATAATCAAAAAACACTTTTCACAAGGGTATATAGTAACAGGCCTGTGCGAAAATATGCGTGGAAATGATTAAGCAATTTCCGTTGACGGGCAATTTTCCACAATTTCCATTGGAAAGTGCAGCCGCAAATTGCGCTCGGGCATAAATCAAGTTTTTTGTTTTATTATTTTCTATCTGCGTCCAATAAAGCCTAATGAGTTGGGCCTAATGAAAGTTATTTGCCGTGAGCCATAAGCCATCGAATGGACGTAGTTTAATTTGATTAGCTCTAAATGCTGGAGTCAGTTTTTTAATAGTATTTAAAAACTTGATTTGGAATCGAAGGTAGAAACTTTTGCTTTTGCCCGCTCGTATGTGGCGGCCATTAGAATGGGCGGATGAACTTGGGAAGTACGCGTAAACTTGATCCAGTATCGATAGCCGATTCGAATTAGAAAACAGACAATGCTGTCCATGCACCTAGGGTCTACCTGCTCATACCTATATAAGAATGTCTCTTAAAGAGACAGACTGAAAATCTTAAGTTCCTTATATATCATTACTTCTTCTTGAATAATCGATAGCTTCTGTAATCGATTAAAATCGATATTAAGGCTTATTTTTTATGAGTCTTAGCCATGTTGTTTTTCTTAGGTCTACACACACAACTTCTATTACATTTTATGCTCACATTTAATACTCCATTAAGTAGCTCTTATCATGCCATTATGTCATTCAGTTTGATTGGAAATTCACTAGAATTTTTAGGTCTACTTTATTACAGGGTATCTCCTAGTCACAATGTATACAAAAAATGTTTTAGTCTAGAATGGTTTAGTTCGCCTAAACTGTCCTAGTCAGTAGTTTCCAATCAGTGCAAGCTGCAAGGTATCTTCCAGTCGTACCCATCCGTTTCTACTTGTTTTTCTAATATAAACCTGATAATTCGTCGCACAAAATCAAGATGTTCGACACCTGCTTGACCTGGCCAACTCAGTTGATGGATGGGACAGTCTCTGTCTCTCAGTCTTCGTCACAGAGCTGCTATGCATCAGTCAAACGACTGTCAACTGACAGACCGACAGACAGGCAGACACAGAGAGAGAAAGAGAGAGGGAGAGAGAGATAGACAGGCGGGCAGCCCGTTGGTCAGGCAGCATCTTGGTGTGAATTTATTGTTGTTTTGCGAACT